AACAAATATCAATGATTTGTGTTTTTTTGTAAAATCATAGAATTTTTTATTTATTTAAATATATTTTTCATTTAACATAATTTTATGAGAAAAAAAAATAATAATTAATATCATAGGTAACTCATATACAGGTTTCATAAAGAGAAATTGGATGCTCAGTGTGATCATCTGAGCCCATTACAGTCTTGGAGTCCCGAATTAAGGTTTTTTACAACAATTGATCAGTATCCTGGAAAATGTGATTTAATTATAACTGAACCTACTGTCATTATGAAAATAGACGCAAGTAATTACTTTCAATTGTAATTTTAGTTATTTATAACTTTTATTTTACTATGATAATATTTATTTAATAATGTTTTTAAACCTTTATTTCATTAGCTGTGAATATGTACCATCATTTTTGTGATTTTTTGAATTTATATGCATCTCAGCATGTGAATAACTCAGGAGCTAGTATGTTTTCAAAAAACATACACATATTAGTTTGGGAGTCATTTGCCTACGAATCTGCATTTAGTGATACTTTTCAAGCATTTACAATGCATCCAATATGGAATTTAAATACATTCAGAGGACAAGTTGTTTGTTTTAATGATATAATCTTACCTTTACTGCCACGAATGATATTTGGGCTATATTATAATACTCCATTGGTAATTATAATTATTTTATTTTTTAAATATAAAATCTGCCGAGGTAAAATTATCATTTATAAGCTAGTTAATCTATCTAAGAATGAAATATTTCTATAACAGCACGTGTTTTAGTTGTAAAGATTTATTTTTTTGCTTCAGATTGATGGATGTGAAAATAGTGGTTTATTTAAAGCATTTTCTCAACATGTATTACATCGTTTAAACATTGATCAAAAACCAAGTAGCAATGGTAAAATAAGTATAACCTTTTTGTCTAGAAGTACAAAGTATAGAAATGTATTGAATGAGGATGAATTAATAAATGCTTTAAGGAATTATTCACAGTATGAAGTAAAAAAGGTATTTTTGCTTTAATTAATGTATTACACATTTGATAAACTAATGAAAATGGTTTTCAGGTTGTTTATAGTGGAAACTTTCTAACTTTTAAAGAACAATTAAAAATAACATATAACACAGATATATTTATTGGAATGCACGGCGCTGGGTTAACACATCTTTTATTTTTACCAAAATGGGCAGTGTTATTTGAACTGTGAGTATGATTTTTGTTAATAGAAAATTAATTTCTATCTATTGTTAAAAGAGTATAATAATTAAATAGATGTTCATTATTATGTGTATTATATTTAATAATAGGTATAATTGTGAGGACGAACACTGCTACAAAGATTTAGCTCGTTTGAGAGGCGTTAAATACATAACATGGCGAGATATAAATAAGTTTACTATGCAAGATAAGGTAAGCATATTATGTTTTTAAAAATGAATTATTTTTAAAATCAAAAATGGTGATTGTAATATCAACATTTTAACTAAGTTCAGATTTGTTACACTAACAAAGTTTATAATAATTTGAAAAGGAAATCAAATTTGGGTTATTAAAAAAAAAAAAAAAAAATGAAAGAAAATGTTTTTTAAAAAATGCTGCTATTTATTTTTGTTAATTGTTGATAAACATTTTTTTATATTATGGAAACATGGCAAAATTTTTATTTATAGATAGGTATTTTAAGTTAATATTTTAACAAAATGACATATTTAAATAATGAATAATTATGTTAATTATTTTGTTATGATTTAAATACATTATTAAAAGGCTTAAAATTTTTACATGCGTTATGAATTATACTATGTGCAGTGATATATTTAAAATATTTAGAATGATTTTAAGTTATTGTCTATTTATAGTGCTAACCCATTATACCAGTGGTTCTTAACTTGTGGTCTGAGAGTTCCTTGGGGTCCGCAATACTCATATTGGGGGTACGCGGTATGGTCGTTATTTGAAAATTAAAATTAATAAAGGGGTCTGAGATTTCTAAAAATCTTTGATCAGGGGTCCGTGATTTACAAAAGGCTAAGAACCGCTACATTATACCATTCTATGGTAAGTTGTAATTCACTCAAAAGTTAATACAAATAAAAAATGATATAAATATATACCATTATAAATTAAATATTGATAATATAATTAATGCAATTTTTAAAGCTATAATTAAATTAACCTACCTTAATACTAACAGTATAATAAATTAATTTAAATAGCTGTATTAAAAAAAAAAAAATGAATATGTAACGTACTGAGTGAAACAGGCTGACAGACTGTTTTTGATTTGTAGTGATTTATCATTTAATTCAAATCAAAACACATATTATAACCTAATTTGATGTAAAATATGTTTTAACATACTCTATGACAAAGAACACTTATCATCTAGTATAAAAATAAGCGGTTATTTCTCCCTTTTTTATTATTTGTTTTAAAATTTATAAAAATAAAAAAAATTTTTACCAAATTTCTAGGATTTGAAAATGTTATCAGATGTACTATTATTCTTAAATTATACACTTGTATATACTTTAATCTTTATTATGAATTTTTTACTAAAAAAATTGAAATCAGGACTATAATTAATAATTTAAAAAATAATTTCATTATTGTTTGTTTTAGGGTCATCATCCAGACCAGGGTGCGCACGCCAAGTTTACTAATTATTCTTTTGATAAAGATGAATTCATAAGCTTAGTGGAAGAAGCATCTGCACATGTAAAAAAATATAAACACGGTTATAGTCCTAATTTACATGATGAATTTTAATATTTGTTGTGCTTTATTATTAACTGATTCTTATGTAATTTTGCTAATTATTAATGTTATGCTTGCACGTTAAGACATTTTTACTTTTTACTTTAAAATATGTTGTTTGGTTATTTTTTGTTTTTATTATGTCATTTTTCACTTTTTTAAATAAATAATTGTTTATTTTTTTTATCATTGATTAGTTTGTTATAATTTTATTTTCTTTTACATATTTAATTGTGTTTGAAGTATGAAGATACATTTCCTGAATTGATTGGTAGCCATTATTGGTATATTTATTTGTCCTTTTTATCAATTTTAGGTGAGTAAATTGTAAGCTTTATTCTACGACATCAAATAGATTATAGAATATTATTAAAAAAAAAAAAAAATATTCTCTTAACGGTTTGTTTTTGTTATAAACTCGGATGTCTTTAAATTTTACATAAACCCATTGCCATCAGTAAAAAATGATAAGTATGAGTATGAAAAATATAAATACAACTGTGAGGTTTGATCATAAATCTATAGTAAACACTAATAATATAACAGAAATTATATTAAATAAACATAAAAATGTGACTTTATGGTAAACAGATTAATTTATTTTTTAAAAAATATTTCTAAACTAAAAATTGAAAAAAAAAAATAATTCAAACAGTATTATTGTAGTTGAAATATTAATAACACAGATTCTATGTTGGTTATTTTTTGGTTTCTTTGTGTATATTGTAATTTGTAAACAAAAAGTGGGTAATTACAGATAATGAACTAAATTCAATTTTTTGCTCAAAATTGCTTATAAAATATAATGATTATTGAATGCAGAGGCATTTCTAGACAGTTTTAAGGTGGGAGTAGGGAATGTATTTTTAATTTATTGAATATTAATTTAATTAAACATGTACAGTATATTCATAATTTGTGGTAACAATCGTACCAATAAATTATATCACACAAGTAGGTATTATCTTTATTTAGACAGTCTGTAGATAATAATTATTTTTTATGTGGTTATTAATTTTTTCTACTCACAAAACCAAGCAACAAATTAAAATTTTGTTGATAATGAGAGTAATTTTTCAGTACAATAGTCTCATATAGAATATCTTAGTTATTCAAATTAATATTAAATAATATTGTATTATGTATTAAATTAAATTAAATTTTATAATAATTTATTAATTGAACATTGTATTGATTTGTAACTTCTAATTTGTAATACCTGCAACTATGATAAATTTACCTAAATGCAACAAAATATTATATGAGATAATTAGTTGGTATTTGTTGTAATTATTTATTTTTGTTATTGTTATTTAATATTTATTACTATTAAAAAATTATTATAACAATATTATAATCTATAATATACTTTCTTCTATAATTCTATACATTATTTGCTTAAAATATTTTTGTATTTATTTGGAATAAAATAAAATTTATAATCATGTGACTAAAATAAAAAATGAACTATTGTTTTTAATATTTGTGTATTTAAAATTATAAATCATAATATATTTCATTCTTAATAAAATAAAATAACCAATTATTACATTTAAAACTATTTAAATTGTTTTTTATTTGAATAATAACGTTCATCAAATTATTTTAATACATTATTTTTACAGTTATTCGAATAAAATGTTGTTTAGATTATCATCTAAATATAATTTTATTTGAATAAAGTCCTACTCAGGGATACTACAATGTTATTTTAGTGCTTAAAATAAATGATATGACTGTGTAACACTATCCAGATATTCAGCATCCAGGATCAAAATAATCAGTGTTATGACTTAGTTGTGTACTCGTTAGTTGACACAAACATTCTTTAAATTTATTTTTATAACTCAATAATTAGCAAAATTCCTTGTCATATTGAAAATGGAATAAATATTGATGCTAATGAACACTAATAATATGTTTCACTAATAGTAATACTATGATTCACAACTTAATTATATAACTTAGTATTCAATAATATTAAATTGATGGATAATTTCTAAAACTATTATTCATCACAGCTATATAAATTATAAAAAAAAAATACTAAACATTAAACGGTATACTATTAGTACTTATCCTGTATTCGTAGTTGTTTGAGTTGTTTTTTATCAGTTCTCATCGTTCTCGCGTTGATATAATTATCATTTATTTTGTGATACTACAATTGTGAACTGTGATATGGTGTTAACAAGTATAACATACAAACATTGAGATAAGTAGATAATAATATTGTTAAATATTGAGTAAAACACGTGCGCGTTAGGTAATAGATATACTGATTTGTTTGTACTAAGCTTGTTTTTTATACAATTTTTGTCTAAACTTATTTTTGTGGATGTGATGTCCGAGTTATTAAATTTTACAGTTTAAGGGAATTAAACTAGAAGGAATTTTATTACTTGTAGTTTTGTATACGTTTAGCTACTGTATCAAATTTGTTAATGTAAGTATTAGGCTTTCAAATAAACTACCCATGAATTTATTTATTTATTTAGACTTATTGTTACTGTGTTTTTAGATGGCTTTTGAAAAACTCACCAAAAAAATGAATAAAAATCAAGAGAAAACTTCTGGACTATATAAAATTGCTGCAAGAATACTTAAAAAAGTCAGAACAGGAAGCAGCTATAAAACTCAGCTTTATCAAGCTCAGTATCCAGTAAGAACTTTTAAATTTTCAACCTTTATTTAGGAAAGCAATGTACTAAAACATTTACTTAAAACTGTAACATACTTATTAATGTACTAGATATCTAAAAAAATGAAGTATTAATAATGCACGAGATTACACAGTTGCATTGCTTACTATTAGTACTTGTCTAATTTAATTTATAAGTCTAAAAGATGTGGAGGAATGCCAAGTACATTAAAATTAAATCAAATGTATTTGAATTATTGAAATTTTTCTCTATTCCCAAGTCTTTATTGATAATATTTAGGTATGCATTATTTAAATGTCATTAAGAAATAATATTGTAAATGATTTGGTAGCTTGAATAGTATTTCTTCTTAGTTATTGTACTCTAGTGTACTGTGAAAAAAACAATTATGGATGTGATATTTACCATGTTTATATGCAGTAGTTAATGCACATTAGGGAGCGGATTTACATGCACTTAAAATATCAAGATTAGATTTTGAATAAAATTAAAAGTCAATACAAATGTTTTTTAGTTCATGCTTCATACTTTGGATTCCATGACCAATATAATTATTATAGTGTTATATTTTAATGAAAATAACTTTGAAATTCCTGCTAAAATATTAATTTGCATTAAAGTGTTAACATACATTTCTAAATCTCGAAGTAAGAGTTAATTTTATTTGACGAATCAAATTAAATAATAAATGTACATTATATTGACGCGGTACTGGTTTGTTATAGCCACGCCACAGCGAATGAAAACTTTATAGCCCTGTCATCCATATAACAATAAATACATTGTATAAATGTAAAATAATGAGTTTATTTATTGATATTTATTAATCTAATAATTTATTGATATAATATGAAAAATAATTTAAAAAATTTGATAATGTTAAAAATGTATAAATAATGTATATAAAAATGTTTATGGTTTCTGTTATTCCCAAAATTCTGCTACATCTTAAATATTGTGTCAAACACATCACTGTTATTCAGTTTTGATTACCACATAAATTGTACCATATATGAGTTTAAACATTTCTGTCTGTTCCTTTATGTTTATCGTTTCCTTATTTGGCCAATTGGCAATTATTAGGTAGGTACCTAATATTAATGCTATTTATTTTCCATCGAATTATTTTATATTTATATATGTTTTTGTTATATAGATGGTGGGGCTATAACAAACCAGTACCCTTAATACAAATTAAAAATACATTTATATGCACCTAACTCTCGGACTAACTTAATGCGTATTAATTGCAGTATATTATACTCGTAAACGTGGTGATTATATAAAAATGTATTAAACATGTTAACTATGACATTGCTATACATCTCTTTTTATTCTTACTTAAATGTTGGTTTTTTTATTGTTCTGTGAGAATGAGAATCATCAATTCTTTTTCTGTTTTGTTAGCCTATAACTACTAAAGATGAATGTTAGTGAAAATTGAATTGCCTATTCATACGTTTTATATTAATGTATACTCCACGCTCTTAAACTCACGTATTGTGAATATAGTGATTCTATCAGATTATCTTTTAACAATAAAAATGCACTTCAAATAGTTTACAAGTCTATCACAAATATAATTTTGGGACTCAGGTATATACCTAATAAAAATCTTGACTTTTTATTGATCAAAGAACAAAATAAAAATGAAAAAAGTTAAGAGCATTCAAGTTAAAAGTGTTTATTTAATAAAATCATAAAAGACGTTATTAAATTTAGATCTTCTGCATAAATATTTTTATTTTTTATTCATATTTATATCATACATTTATTCATAGTTATTTTATTTAGAAGTATCTTAATAACTACATGATATAGTTAATTTATTTTTTAAATTATTGTTTTATAAAATAAAAAAATGATATAATAATTTTAATATTGGATAGTTTTATTATTTAAAAACAGTTTGGAGTAAAATAACAGATACAATATTTTATATTGATTGTTGCCATTGGCTACTAGAGTACAATAACTAAAAACCATAGCTTATTGGTTTATGTTTATACCAATTAAAACTAAAATTCCAATAGACTTTTCACAATTTTACTATTTATGTCGGTAGATTATTTTATAATTTACTTATTTTTTAATTGCTGAATATTTTTATTAATAGTTATCTATACCAGTGATATAACCTTATGTACCTTATTTATTTTTGCTGAGGTACTATGTAAAATGTTGGCTTTGTGCAAGCCACCAATAATAAAAGTTTGATATTTCATCATTCTATTGAATCCATTGTATCTATCTCATTATCACATATCAAATGGGTTACCTATATAGTTAGTTTTAAACTCTAAAATTAGTCACAAATTACTTTTAAGAATTTAATGAGCTATAGGTTGGACATCATTGATCTACACCATACATGATTTATAAATATTTTAGATTATTTTAGAGTATAAGTGATAAACACATTAATTGCAATATGTTTTATTTATATTCATTTTATATTTTTTTTATGTCTTATAATTTTTTTCAAATAGAAGCAGTGATGTGACCACTGTATTACTAATATATTTCATGTAGAAAATTGAATGTAGCTTAAATGTTAGAAAGTTATTCTTCTTTTCATATGTTTGTGTATAACAAGCAAATAAAAATAACCAAAACACAATCCAATTTACAATTTTCATATTATAATAAAATTGATTTTTTTTATTTTATAATGAATAAAATAACATATAATAGTTTAAAAACTGTTTATCATTACTAGAAATATGAATTTTTATTAATTACTTGTAACAAAAAACAGGATAAAATATTAAGCAGATTAGAGAATTTTTGGTAGATATACTATGGATATTTAGAATAATTCAAAATAATAAAATTGCTGTTATCCTATTAAATATTTATTCAAGTTTTGTTCAAAATTAGTTTTTGTTTTTAATGTGATTTTACAAATACAATTAGTTTTTTATTTGTTCCTTCTATGCTCACATATTTTATAATACAATTTTTTTTTTCAGAACAAATTATTATTGAATGCTGTGTTGATGAATGTTTTTAAATGGGAAAAGGTAATAGATGTATTAGTAGAAAAAAGTAATATATTAGAAAAAGAAAATAATATGGACCGTGATTTAGTATATGTATTTATTACTGAAATGATGTGGTCAAAATTTGGATTAAAGAGTGATGCTAAAAATATATTAGCAGTAAAAAAATATAAGGATGAATTTTTAAAGCTTATAAAAGAAAATGATTTAGAAAAACTATCTGTTTCCACAATTTCTAAAGGTATGTTAAAAAAAAAAAAAAAAAAAAACTAAAAACGTATTTATACATTTTTCTAGGTATATCTAAATCATATTTATTAATTTATTGAGTTAAAAGTTAATTGATTATTTATTTTTAACTTAAAAACTTAGAAAATACCATATCCATGTTTTATTATACAAATATATAATATATTAAATTTAGAATCAGTAAAATTAATTTTATGTTGTTAGCTTTAATTTTAGTGTGAATTAACCAATTATTATCTAAGTAGTTTTGTACTTATAGTGTGAATTAAACTTTTAATATTATAAAATATTACAATTTAAGATTCTCATTACTCATTCAAAAGTAAAATATTAATTAAAGTCTATGTAATACCGATGATAATATTTTTATCTTTAATTTTTATTATAGATCAATTGACTCTAATATTAAAGTCAACAACAAAAAATTGGTTCTACTAAATAATTATTTACTATTTTATTCATTTTTAAGATAGAGAAAACGCTGAACACATATCATGTATATGTACAGTACATACATGCCATCTTATTAAAACAATTATTTTTTTATTTACTGTCTGTGTAATGTACATTATATTTTTTAAAGCTTTATGTATTTATACTTTTCAGCTTTCAAACCTAGGTTTTTTCGTATTAACACATTAATAACTACACTTGAAGAAATGTTAGAAAAATTATCAAAACTTAAATTTATTAAGTTAGAAACACCAAAATCTTATGCTGAATTTTTGGAATTAATCAAATCTGACAAATTTAAAAAAAAAAATGTTTTTGTTCAAGATGTTCACATTAAAGAATTGTTAGTTTTCAATTCAAAAGTGAAGTTTTATGAACTCGAAGAGTACAATAATGGGTCTTTAATTGTTCAAGATAAGGTAAAATTTGTATTTTTAAATAATAAAATTAAATATGAATAGATGTGAGAGCTGAGTAAATAGTCATATGATACTTAATTATCAGAATCACTTTATTTTATTAATTTGAGTAACAGCATAATACATAATACTTCATAGTTATTTTACATACGTTAAAATGATAATATTATACATTCAAACTATAATCGTATATTATTTGAGCACATCACTGTTGACCAATGATGATATAAGAATGAATAGGGCGCCTATGTGACTGTTGTCAGTGTCCTTTAACGAAAAAACTTCAAACCCTACGTAGATAAAATAAAGCATTAACAATGTAAAATAATTGAAATAGCTATTTTGTTTTACTTACCTCTTTAAAAATTGTTAAAACTAAATAATAAGTACATACTTTAGTTAATATAAATATTAATTGTGTATTTGAGTATTAGTTTTCATGCATATTTTTTAGTAATAAATATTTATTTTGAAGATAATTTTCCAACAAGGTTTGTTTTCATTAAATTTTTAATATTAATTATTGCATTAAATATTTTCTTTTGAATACTATTTTCTGGTTTAATTTAAAGTATTTAGGATTGTTTTTAAAAGTAAATAATCACTTCCAAAACCTTATCTTTTTTTATACCACAGTCATTGTTAATATGAATAATAAATAATGTTATTTAAGTGTTCTAAATAAACTTTTATATTATATTATTGAAATAATAATTTAAATTTATTTTCATTTATAAAATTTTTATTAATTTTTTATCTCGATAGTTATTTTAAATGTAAATGTAGTAGTAGTCAATAGTAAGGTGTTAACAATTTTTTTATTGTATTATAATTGATAATTACATTTTTACTATTTTGTAAATTATTTAAATTTAGTTGTTAAAACTTTCAAGTAAATTTTTTCTGATATTTAAAACTAAGAAGTGCACAATAAAAAAAAAAAAATAATAAATAAACAAATCCGAGTTAGTACAATTTTTTAATTGATGAAAAAAAAGTAGATAGTTAAAAATTTGTTTCAAATATTTTTTAATAGTATAATATTTAAGTAAATACTTTTTAAAATTATTTTTTACAACAATGAAAATTAAGTACTTGTATGAATTGAATAATTATATAGTGTCTTTTAATTTTAAAGTTAAATAAAACATCATAATGCAATACTATTATTTGTTACGCAAGAACTTTATGCTTTTTTTTGTTATTGATACATAAAATACATAAGATTCATTGTTATGTTTCTTAATTTAGATTTTGAATGTGTGATTGAATCATTTATTCTGTTTTCTAAATTATGTAGGAAAAATATTTTTTTATTTCATAATCATTATTTATTTTGTGATAAAATTATTTTATCACAAAATACAAAAGTAATACAACACAAAGTTATTTTCCTATCACATCCTAATAGTTAATATCCACTTCTATTTTTTGGCATTTAAAATTTAAATGAGAAAACTCATAATATTTACTTATCAATGCAAACAGCAAAAATGAAAGGTAGGTATTAACACTTGTTTGTACATTCAATGTAGAACAATTTTTAGAATTCAAATTAGATTATGTGCTTATATATTAAAGTAAATAATTATCAATTATAATATACTAATGTTTGTAACCGTGTAGTTATCTAGTATATAATATATGTATTGATAAATCATACTCTCATAATAATATACAATATATACAATATAATTGCTAGTGTACATATGAAAAATGTGTGTACTGTGCACAGATTTTAATTGAAGATGTCAATATTTTATAAGATAACTCTTTTTATAGCTTTTAATATCTTGTATAAAGAATTCACGAGGGCCTGAACTATAATTTTCTTTCTAAAATTTATTTTCACAGAATTATTTAATACATTAAAGTAATTTTAACTTACTTGTAAGAATACAATTTTAATTTATAATTCAAGTTTTAATCATTGGTTGAAAGGATGTATTTCCATCAATAAAATCATTAGAGTTTATCAGCAATGAAAATTTTTACTCTATAAAAATTAAAAATCATAATAATTCATCAAATTTTATTTTATTTTTACAAACACTTTCTTAATTTATTTTTACCAAACTTTGTTTAAAAAAAAAGGTTTTTTATAAAAGCAACTAATAACTATAATAGTCACAAAAGTTGCAATGCTTTATGGTTATTGAATCATTTTTGATTTTTTGATAATAGTTCTAACCATTGATGAACTTTATTAGATGTGTCTATTACAAAATCTAGCAAAGAATGTAAAAGACTGCCACAATATTAACCATTAGTAAATAAAATCTTTTGAAGTATCAAAATAATCAGTTTTTGATTGTATTAGTCAACCTATTATTTTAATAATACTTGTGTTTTTTGGGTTAAACAGTTTTCATTAATTATTCATTGTTATGTAATTAAATTAACATCTCATATTATCATTATTCAAAATATATCTGTGATTATATTTAGAATTAATAAATTCTTTATGTTTAAAAAGGTTAAATAGATTTTTAATTAAAACAACTATATGAAGTTATTGACAGTTAAGGTTTGAGTTATCTTTACAGGAGATGCTATATGTTACCTAGTATTTTTTGTATGCACACCTATATAATATATGTATAATATTATATAATATAATGAATTTCAATTGTTATTGTTTATATTTAAATAAATATATAAGTTATTTATTAAGAATTATTGTCCGTAGGCAAGTTGTTTGGCTGCTTATTTATTAAATCCAGAACCAAACAGTACTGTATTAGATATGTGTGCTGCTCCTGGTATGAAAACATCACATTTAGCTGCTATTATGCAAAATACAGGGTGAGTTTATTTATACACTTTATACAACATACAATTATGTATTAGTTGTAAATTGTATTTTTTTTATGTTAAAAAAACAACACCTGTGGTTAGATTTCTTGACTAATAATTCTATACTATTTAATTATATTTTTTGTATAATAATGTAATATATTGCTAAATTTACTTATTTTAATTACTCAGTTGACAGTTCTATACATGTTAAAAAAATTTTTTTGGAAAATATTTTATTCTTCATGACGCATGAGTGCATTATATTTATATACTTTCTTCTATAACTTCTATCCACACACATTTTAGGTTTTATAAAGTTGATCATAATTTGTTTAAAGTTTTAAGTTGAGAGATTTAGGGTGAATGCTTATAGTAGTTAGCATGTTGTATATAATTATCATTTATTATTTTTAAACTATTGTTATATAAATTATTCAATAATAAGTTTTATATTTTGATAAGGAACTACAATTTAATTTTTTATTTTTATTGAACGTTTGCCATTATACATTAATTATTATATCTTATAGTAAACTCTATGCTGTTGATCGCTGTAAAGAGAGATTCAATGTTATGCAAAAAATGTTGGAAAAATATCATGTAAAAAATGTGGAAACATTCAATATGGATGCATTAACTTTTCCTTATTATGATGATGTTAAATACATACTGGTAGATCCATCGTGTTCTGGTTCTGGTAAATAAAATTTATTTGTAATGATTACTTATAAATATATATATATTTAATAAATGTTTTTTAGAATAAAGTTGTGATAATTAAATTTTATACTTCATTAAATTTCAGATATTTTATATTATTTAAAAATGATTTTTCAGGTATTGTGGATAGAGTTCGGAATGATTCATCGGGACAAAATCAAAATTTTCAAATAAGATTGAAAAAATTAGCTAATGTGCATGCCCAATTATTAAATCATGCATTAAAGAGCTATCCTAATTTACAACGCTTAGTTTATTCCACATGTTCAGCAAATCACGAAGAAAACGAAGCTGTCGTTGATGAAGCTTTATCTGTTAATGGGAAATTTAAGCTTTTGGATTGTACTAAAATGGTGAAAGACTGGACTAACAAAGGAGTTCCTGGTTATGATTGTTCAGAAATGTGTCTTAATGCTGTTCCAAATGATGATTGTACTAATGGATTTTTCATTGCTGTGTTTGTTCGTCGAGATTTAGAAGAAATAGAAGTTGCAGAAAAGGAAATAAATATTGAAGATAATGAAGTTATAGAAGAGAAAGAAGAAACTGAAAATAATGAAGTTGTAGAAGAGGAAAAAATTAATGAAAGTCCTGAAGTTGTTAATAAGAAGAATAAAAAATCTAAGAAATCGTTAGTTATGAATACTGATAAAAATGTAGAGAGTAAATCTCGAGTAAAAAAAAAAGAGAATATTGAATGTACACCATTAGTAAAAAGTAAAAATGCAAAAAGAAGGGAAAGAAGGCTTAAACTGGAACAATCATATGGTACAGATATTAAAAAATCTAAAAAACTTAAGAAACAAAAAAAAGTCAAAATAGAAGAAGCTTAATTCTTGTATTATTATTGATTTTGACTTTATTAATTTCATTAAAACTTTAAACTATCATACTTTTAGTAGATTTTTCTTTTTTTTAAACACTTATTGAAGTATTCTCTAAGTATTTAATGACATTTTTAAGTTCTTGATCTAATACGTATACCAACATTGTGTTTAGGGCAGTTAATTTATATTTGTATTGTATAATTAAAAAAAAAAAAAGTCAGCTAAAAACTAATTGGTTTTGCTAAATCTCTAATTTTATGTTTTATGTTGTATACTTTTGCATATAATTTAGGTTCTATTTTGTTTTTAGATGCTTATTTCCTTACTTTTTTCAATAACATTTATCTAAACAACAATTAGTTCCTATCATAGGACCCAAATCCTATCTCATTTGATTGTTTGCGACTGCAAAAGTAAGAACATTGTGTATTATATATTTTTTTAACCTATTCGCTATAAAATCTAATTCTTGATATTAAAAATAAATAATAATAATTAATAAAATTTTACAAAACTAAACAGATAAATAAGAAACAACAATTACTAATTTTTAACCACAAATATTGTATAATATGAAACTGTGAGAAGAAGGGTTATGGTTAACATTGAAATTACCAGAAAAATATAAAATAAATAAAAATTTCTTTTATAGCTTAATTAAAAGTAAGAGTAGAAAATTAATTATTTGAATATTCATTGACAATACTGTTTATATCCTATTTACTAAAGATTAGAATTTAGTAATTACTGTGGGCACAGAGACAAAGCATTTTTTCATTGATAATGAAATTATACTGCCTATCTTAAGCAATGTTGGATTGAATAATTTAAATACTAAGTCTTCATAAAATGTAAAAATAAATGTTATTTTTAGAATTCTTTTTGAAAACTAACAATTACTTAATTTCAGAAATTTGCATAATCAATTGCATATTATGAACAAATCATGTGTGGGTGGTTTCTTAAAAATTATTTAACAAACTCATAATAATTGATTTTTTGACTACATTTTAGTGAACCATTAAATTTATTGTTTGTCTTGCTACTCGGCATTAGACTTATGTTTTGTAACTTTTTTTAATCCTTGATTAAGTTAATGAGGTATGTTTCACTATCAGAATATTTTATTTTTTTTACGACATCATCATTATCGTTTTTATTATGAGGATGATAAATAATATATTTTTGAGTTTTGCAGTCCAAGCACTTTCACATTTCAAACGTTGGTAGTAAAAATGATAAAAAAATAATATTCAAAATTTAAACTTGAGATAGGTACACATTGCAATATTGCATGCACAGTGTGCACCTTGTATATTTTTTTTATCTCCTTTCATATTTGTATTTTAGTAACTCCAACAAATAATCGATTAAGAGTATGTTAATTTTTAGTTGTTCTGTATTTATTTCAATTAAAATTGTTTATATTATTTACAAAAATTCTTATCTCATCACCATTACCACCTATTGACTATCTAATGTTTAAGTTTAAACATAACGTTATTACATTTTTAAACATTTATTAAACTCACATAAGTGTTTATTAATTCTAGGGATTTGTACAGGCATTTTTGATGAGATTTAGGATACCCACCTATCTACTGGTTTGTATGAAAAGCATACCAAAATAATTACTTACAAGTTACAATCCATCATGTCGATGCGTTGTTCGTTTGGTCGTCTAAATGATTCCCCCTTAATAAATGCCTAGATAAAGGCTCCTTAAATGCGGAAAGAATAAAAAATGCTTTATCTGTTCTATTGAATTATTGTAATGGATTTGTTACATTATTTTACTGTTATAATATTTGAGATAGTGTTATATCGGCCTAATAGATAGCGTTGCTCATACCATTTTACGTTAATTAAATACAACGTATCTACTATATTATTGTTTTAATCAGTGCATTTTATACGTGAGTGTAGGTACTCATAGACAAAGAAATGTTTCGATACTTTTAAAAGCTTTGATCGATGTCTTGTTGAATTCACAACCGAGTAAATAATACGTCGGTAAAGGTATTTTATATCTACTTACCTTATGTCTTATTTTTTTTCAAAAACAATGTTTTTAGCGAAAATTGACGACTCGGATATGAAAGTCTCTCATTGGTCATTTGGATTATGTCATATAATATTTATACGTGTAAGTAATGAATATTTTGAGCATATAATATTATAATATCGTTGTAGTTATATTTTAATTAAAATTACAAATATAATACGGTGTACGCCACAAAAGTTGATCATCACGTTCCCATTTGATAAAGTTTTTTTTTAACTTGTCGTGATTGATTTTTTGTTTTTAAAAATTTAAATCATTCTCGTGGCGACCGTTGACCATGAAACATTGTTCGCCACTATATTGTTCAATAATTTCGAAATTACTCAAACAATTCTGCTCCGATTTTTATCATTTAAAAACGTATTTCTCGTTAAAAGTGATCTACAACCAAATCAAGCACAACGACATCCAACCGAAGCGGCTCCGGCTTCTAACTCTGGTAACTTTAAACAAATTAATTAGGTACCTCTATTTAATTGTAATCGTTATCTACGGCGGACGCACTCGGCCGTCCGTCCCGTTAATCGACGTTCGATTGCGCAACGCACTCAATAAGCGATAAACCACCATGTCATCACAAAAATCTAAAACTGTCGTATCTCCACTTATCATTTCTAAAGCACGTATACAGAGCGTGCCAAATAGATCGCCTAATCAATCTTTAAATTCTGATCCCAGCGATGGCTGGATTACCCCCACTCCAGAAAAACGCACTATTACTTCTCCATCCACCCCAACCTCAAGACCGCAAGCTACAAAAAAAGTATTTGTTACTCAAAATCGATTTTCCTTATTTTCGGATACGATCGATGCATCCGAAAACAATCCAGAACCCGAAAAAATGGAGCAAGAACCTGAGCACTTAGAAAACTCTTCCGCACCTATCAAACCTCCACCACCTATTTTTATTAGTGTGGTTAATGATTACAAGGCCTTCTGTGACAACATTAAGCAACTTACGAATGGTGAACCCTTCGTATGTAAAAGTTCCATAAAAGGCATAAAACTCTCTACAAGCTCACCAGATTCGTATCGTTCAGTCATTAAATTTTTACAATCTAATAAAGCTGCTTTTCACACTTATCAACTAAAACAAGACAGATCCTTCAGAATAGTTATCAGAAATCTTCACCACTCTACACCAATCAAAGAAATAGAGAAAGAACTCGTAGCTCTCGGGCACATGCCTCGTAACATCACAAATGTTTTACATAGAACCACGAAACAACCTCTCCCGCTCTTTTTCGTCGATTTGGAGCCTGATATCAACAACAAAGATGTCTTTAAAATTGACCACCTTTACTATACTAAGATAAAAATTGAAGAGCCCCGACCAAACAACCAACCAATCCAATGTCTCCGTTGCCAAGGCTTCGGCCATACAAAATCATACTGCAACCACCCGCCAAAGTGTGTACGCTGTGGAGACTCTCACGCGTCTGAAAGCTGTGTAAAACCGGCTGACCAACCAGCAACATGCGCACTATGTAGTGGTGCCCACCCAGCCAATTACAGAGGATGCCCTGTGTTCAAAAAAATTCAAGCTGTCCACCATCTCAAGAGGTCAAACCTAACTCAAGCTAACCTGAAAGAAATACCCTCTATTGTAAAATTCACTAATGTAAACACTACTTCCAATATGAACACCCAACCCAAAAAATCTTATGCTCAAGCTACAACAACCGATTTACCGAGGCAAGACATCCCCACCAACGCATCCCAAAATCCCGACCACTTAGCCCACCAAATGGCGCTTTTTCTCCAAAACTTCCAATCCACCATTAATCCACTGATCTCTCTACTCACTACTCTCATTGAAAAACTAATTTTGTCTAATGACAAATAGACAAAATAATATTCCTCACTCTATCTCAATCCTTCAATGGAATGCCAATGGACTAGTGCGTCAAAAAAACGAACTTCATGCCTTCCTCTCTATAAAATCCATTGATATTTTACTCATCTGTGAAACACACCTGACACCAAACTCTTCCTTTAACATTCCTGGCTATACCACATATCAATGTAACCATCCCGATGGCTCTTCCCACGCGGGTTCTGCAATATTATTAAAGTCAAATATCAAACATACCCCTCTTCCCCCATATCAAAATAACGTCATACAGTCCACTAACATCTCCCTAACACTAAATCATATTCCTACCACTATCTCATCGACTTACATCCGTCCAGGCACTAAATTAAATCCCAATGATTTCGAGCTCTTCTTTAATTCCCTCGGTACTCACTTCCTGGTAGGTGGGGACTACAACGCCAAACATCCCCAGTGGGGTTTTAGTCAACCTAATACTAGAGGTCGAACCCTCAACAGATTTATCCTCGATCACAATCTTAAAATAATATCTCCTCCCCACCCTACATATTGGCCCTCACATGTCAATAGACGTCCCGACGTTCTAGACTTTTTTATCACTACGCTCCCTAGCCACATAAAGTACACTATTACCAATTCCTCAGACCTCTCTTCTGACCATACACCAATATTACTCACTCTAAACGATACTTCAACTGCTACAAAAAATCACCCAACTATCACTCCGGGTAAAACAAACTGGAAAAAATTTAATCAAACTATAGAAAATGCCATCACCCTCAACATTTCCTTAAAGAACCCATCTGACGTAGATACTGCAGTACACTCCTTCACAAATATCTTACAACATGCTGCACTTGATGCTTCTAAAAACAACTCACCCACCACCCACACAACCAATGTTTTACCCTTACACATAATACAACTCATTACAGAAAAGCGTCGAGCCCGCCGTATATGGCAAAGAACACACTTGCCGAGTGACAAAAAGTATTTCAACACTCTCAATAACTCCTTAAAAAATATTCTTCGAAAACATAATTCTGACAAATTTCACAACTACTTGGAATCTCTCTCTAATACAGACAACTCTCTTTGGAAAGCCACTAAAAATATCCTAAAGGAAAAAAGTAAAATACCCCCCCCTACGGTACCCCGACAACTCCCTAGCCTCGTCAAATCTTGACAAAGCAAACTTATTTGCATCAGATCTTGAAAATAGATTCTCACCACATCCAAACTTTCTCAATAGAAGCCACTACTCTAATATTGAAGCATCACTTCTAAACACTCTCCCAATGTGTCTCCCTACAAAACATACCTCCCCTTCTGAAGTCCTAAATATCATTAAAAACTTAAAAAATAATAAATCCCCAGGCCACGACCTGATAACTAATACTATTGCTAAATACCTGCCTAAGAAAGCAATCCTTCTTCTCACTTATATTTACAATAGCATTCTTCGTCTATCCTATATCCCTCCCACCTGGAAACACTCAGTTATCATCCTAATATACAAGCCAGGAAAACCTCCTGACCAACCCTCCTCATATAGGCCTATTAGCTTACTTCCTACCTTCTCAAAAATTTTAGAAAAAATCATATTAAAAAGAATTTATCCGATACTTAACGAGAAACAAAGTATTCCAAACGCTCAATTCGGCTTTAGGAGTAAACACTCATCTCTTCACCAACTTCACAGACTAATCGACACTATTGCTTCATCTCTGGAACAAAAAAAATTTTGTTCTGGGGTTTTTCTTGATGTTGCTCAGGCGTTTGACCGGGTCTGGCATGAAGGACTTCTATTCAAATTATTATTTTTACCCACTCCGTTATTCCTCTTACTCAAATCCTTCCTATCAAACCGTACCTTTTCGGTAAGATGTGAAGACGAAACTTCTGATCCACATCCTATTAAAGCAGGCGTCCCTCAAGGCAGTATTCTTTCCCCGACTCTCTATAATATATATACAGCAGATCTACCACAATCTATCAACACTACTCTAGCTACCTTTGCCGATGACACAGCCATAATATCAACCAACTCCGAAATAGCCACCACTACAAACAACCTCCAAGACCACCTAACCCAACTACAAGATTGGTTCAGCTTATGGAAAATTAAAATTAATGAAAATAAATCCACTCACATCACTTTTACACTCAGGCCTACAACAATTCCTCCAGTCTACATAAATAACCAAACAATTCCCATTGTCGACTCCGTTAAATACTTAGGACTCGTTCTCGACAAAAGACTAACTTGGGCAAATCACATCAAAGCTAAAAGAATTTCCCTTAACCTCAGGCTTCACAAATTAAGACCACTTCTTCGATCCAAAATCTCCTTAAATAACAAAACACTTATTTATAAACAAATATTACGTCCAGCAATGACTTACGGAATTCAACTGTGGGGTACCACTAAAAATTCAAACCTAATCAAATTCCAAGCGTTCCAATCAATATCTCTGCGTGTCCTCTCTAATGCTCCCTGGTACGTCAGCAACCGCACCCTACATCATGATCTTAACATACCATCAATATCCACTCTTGCCTCTTATCATTATAACAAATTTCATAAAAATACCTTTAACCATCCAAACCCACTCATATCTAAACTTTCTTCTTGCACAATACCTGATAACCCCCCTCGACGCCTCAAACGCAAATGGCCGCGTGATCTACTAAATAATGCCTAGTGCTATTATTATAAAGTTACCTCCCCACAAAGTTTAAATTGGAAGTAGTGTCATTGGACACTCCCTTCCCTCAAGATTTTCAAGTCCTGTAATATTCATATCATCATATTTACTTATTATATAAATTGTATATAGATTGTAAATATTCTTAAATAAATAAAAAAAAAAAAAAAAATAAAAAAAAAAAAAAAAAAAAATTTAAATATAATAAACTCTGATTAACTGAGGAAGATATTGAATTGTTGTTCAATTATGTATTAATTAGGTAATCAATATGTGTGATGTACTGTACTTAGTGTTGTTTATCATACTATTTTTTTTTTTTTTTTTATGTTGAAAGAATATGTTTAAAAGTTCAACTTTATATAAAATTAAAATTAAGCCATTGAAACGTTTTGAATGGTTTATAATTAACTAAGACCATCGACACTTTTAAGTTATCTTACCTCCCAAAGACGTATTTTTCCATATCTTAAAACATCTCAAGTATAGATTCTTTTTTTTTGTATAATTTTATCAAAAAAACAATTCATTAACTCACA